CATCCTTATCAAACTGTGGATTCAGTTTCCCTAGTTCATTAGCCCACTGTGGTTTGGTTTTCCTTGTATCCAGGTGGAAGAAAGCATGGCCTTGAACCTAGTTTTCCTGCAGATTCCAAAGAGTCCCATTTCTGCTGTCCTGCCTCCCATTTCGTGAGCTGGGTTGGGGAGCATCCTCTTCACAGTCTCCCATCTAGAGAGGCCAGTATCTCTGCCCAGTGCTTGCCATCAGCTGCATCAGACTTTTACCATTTTTCAGAAACTCCTCATCCTATAATYCTGTTCAGAGAATGCCTCACCTTCTGACAAAAGAGAAAATAGACACCTTCAAATAAAAACTCCCTCGGTCTCCTTCCAACCCACTGACAGATACTCTTCTCTTCCACATATTTTAGTCTGCAAGTATTCTTAGCCAAAGACCAATCCCGCCACGTGTGCTGGAGCTCAATGCCTTGTTCTACACAGCATATAAACATGCTCCAGCCTCTTCCTATTGGAAACAACCCTTAGGATCAATCTGGGGTTGAGAACCACATGCTGATATTTTAAAAGTTCCCCAGCCATTGCTGAAAATATAAACAATAAAATCCAAACGTCTTACCAGGGCTACAAGGCTCTTCATAAACTAACTCCTGCCTACATTTCCTACCTTTACCAATGTGCACTCTGAGCTGGAGTGCTACCAAACTACTTACAGAGTTGCCCAAACCTGCCATATTTTTTGCTTCTGTGTGTGTGTGTGTCCTTCTGCTTGGAAAGCATTTCCCTGCCATCTAGAAAGTGCTCTAATGTTCAACTTTAGTGTCATTTCTTTGAAGTCTTCGAAAGTAACCTTCATGCTGTGTGAAGGCACCCCCCCCTTCCCCAATGGGTTTATCTCTTACCACATACAACTCTAGTTGTTCATGGATATGCTCATCTTCCCTACTGGATGGTGTTTGTAGGAACTACAGAGCCCATGGAAACGCCACTTGGTAGACTTGAGTCTATATTAGATATTGGAAGATGCTTTCTCTCAGGAKCAGGACAAGGCTGAATAAAGTGTCTTTGAGTACATTCATTCATGTAGGCACTCAACATTTACTGAGGACTTGCCATGGTCATTTACCAATGTAATCCAGGTGAATAAATCTATAGATGAAGAAGTATCCTGTCACTACTTTGGCCTCTGGAACAGTCTCATCATCTATAATAGTCTGCTTTGTCTATCTATAGTGGACTCTCATGACAGACACTTAAAACCCCTCAGTAGTTTTCTYAGAACAGTTCTTTGCACACAGTAAGTGTTTAGGAAATATTTTAAATGAATGCTCACAAATCCATATACAAATATGTACCTTCTTAATATATGGGCTTCTTCCCCACTTTGCCAGCTAAATGTTGAGACAGAAACAATGCTACGTATTTCACATGGGTTATCTCCTTTAATCTGCACAATAATTCTATGAAATAGGTATTGTTATGGTTCCCATTTTATTGAGGTTTCAAAATTTACCTAAGGTCATATAAGTACCAATTGAAACATTAAAACTCAGGACTTTGGAGTCAGGTGTGACCTCAAAGCCACTAGAATATATCTGGAAGACATTAGGACTTCAATAAATATTTATTGGCTCCATGAATACTGCTTTCAAGTGGAGGGGAGTGGAAAGGTTTTTTAATTATTTCCCTTCCTACTAGATTCTGGGTCCCTTGGTCTCTTTCCATTTTAACATTGTCCCATTCACTCTAACATCCACTCAGAAAACATTATAAAGGTTCAGCTGAGTGGGTCAGATGATAGATTGTATTGATACTTGAGATGACTCAAGTATTGCCCCTGTTGAGAGGAGCTTGTAGTTGGGGTTGAAAATTACATTAGAGTAAAATCATGGGAGGAAGAGAGAGTGACTTACTGACTGGGAGACTGGACTGTGCTTTTGTGCTGAGCCAGTGGGTAAGGCTCGAGGGTAAGGGAGTATGAAAGACATCTTGGGGGATGGTAAAGCACTGGTATGACTCAGGAGGGTGACAGAAGTAGAATAAGAAGACTAGGTAGGGACTAGATCAGGTTGAACCCTAGCATACAATGCTAAGGAGTATGAGTTCTTTGAATACTTGGATTCTTTTGCCATTTTCTTAAAAGTGCAGGTACTAATGGGTTGGGTTGATCTGTACTTTAGCTTTTACTTCTTATCTAAAGTCTAGGATGAAAATCCCATGTGGCTACATCCCATCATTTATGAACATAGTATTCCTCCCAGCTACCATCTTTCCTGAGTTCTCTCAATTCTGTCCATATTTACAGCATCCAATTTTACAAGCAGTTATTGGATCACTGTATGCAAAGCACTGGCCAGGAGCTGCTGGAGGTATAGGTTTCATGGGTTTCATGAAACATGGTTCTTGGCCAGAATAGTTAAGTCTAGTTGATGAATGTGAGAGGATCAGGCCAGGTAGTATAGAGCTGACAATTAAATACGGAGAGAGATAGTACCTCTTGAGAAGTTTCCACATAGACAACGTGTTTCCTCCAATTTTATCAGGTTCTTCCCAGGTCCTGCTGTTGTCTTTCACTTGGTCTCTCTTCCTTACCCTCCCTGGTCACCTAGACTATAAACCCTGAGTCCAGGGACACTGTCAACAGAACCTAACATGGTCTTACATATTGTAGGTAGTCAATGTATATTTGATGAATGATTGACACAAACCTGATAATAGTCTTGAAATCTTCAATTTCTCCTCTGCTTCTAGAATAAAAATCAGACTGCCCCTTTGGTCTTCAAGACCTTCTAGGTTATGTCACAGCCAACTTCACTTCCTTTTTCCCCTTTCACTACCTTGAAGGCCAGTTTAGCCAGTGATTCACAATTCTTGCCCGGGGCCACTTGTATTCTCCCACCTCCGTTCCAGGAAATCCTCTTGGCGGCTCCTAATGCTAGGACTCATCCAAGTTTATAGGATCGGTGAGAAGGCATCGGTAGCCAGTTGCTCCCTCCCGCTAAGCCCTCCCAGCCACCCCAATAAACCCCTAGCCCGCCTGGCCAGCCGGCCCCCTTCGAGAACAGGGCTGAATCCTAGAACTTCCTCCCAGAGTCCTAGCAGGGCCTGCCGTCAGACGGCGGGTGTTTGTTGGTGGACTGGTCAGAGGGCCGAGGATGGGACCCGTCGGGTGCTGGACGTCAGAAGAAGCAGGGTGCTCCCAAGGTGGACCAGGCCGCAGGCACCAGCCGCGGCGGGCTGGGAGATGCGAGGGAAGGGGTGGGGAGCCGGGCTGGGTGTGCTTCCTGCCCCGGGATCTGGCGGCCCGCCCCTGCCCCCGCCCCTGCGGCCCAGCCGGCGCTGGACGGCCCCTCCTGCCTGGGCTGGTCGCCCAATCAGCAGGCGCCCCCCGCCCGGTCCGCCCCCTCCCCCTCTGGTGACAGAAAGTCGGCCCAGCAGATGAGGAAGTGGCAGGCAGGATAGCCCTGGGGACTGCTCTCTGGCCCTGCTCCCCCCACCCCCCGAGTCCTCCACTGCTGTCCGCCTGGCCCCCACTGGTGAGTCTGGACCTTCCACAGCTTCCCACGTGCCGGCGCCCCCTGCCTGGCAGGCCCGGCTAGCCTTGCCCTGCCCTGCCCTGCCCTGCCCAGGGTATGGGCGAGGCTGTTCCTGGGGCGAGTGGGTGGGAGGTCCCAGCTCCTGGGGCCGGGCTTCACCAGCTCCCTCCCTCCCCGCCCCCCCTCCGCCCTGGCCCCCCGTTTGCTCACACCTAGGCCTTTCTCCACCACCTTTTGGTCTTGGCCCTCTCCCTCCCCTCCTCTCTTCCCTTCCCCTTCCCCTTCCTTTGCCGTATCCTTTTCCCTTCCATCCATCTTAAGGAAGGAAGGAACCGGCTAAGCTCCCCTGTGAGGGACACACCCAGATTTTCCTCAAGCTTGTGGAGAGGTCCTTCCCAGAGGCCTGGAGTCCCTCCTGACCTCCAGGGTGCCTGTTCGAGTGCGTGGGGGTGAACTTGAGGCTGGTGGCTGAGGGAGATAAGGAGCTCGCATGTGCCAGAGAGGAGCTGTGTGAGAGCACACGCCTAAGGCTTAGGCCCTGCCACAGCATAGGCCACCAACAGAGTCACTGTGCATGAAGAAATGAGGAGTGTCGCCCGCCAAAACATATCCGTGTATGAGGGAGGTGCTTGTCTGCGTATGGTGTGAGTGGTCAGATGTTCTTTCACCTGCTAGTAGCTCAGCCATGTGTGAGTAACTTAGCGCGTGGGCCTGAGCCTGAGCCAGTGAGCATATGCTTTTGCACACAGTGCCCTGGGGCTGTGCAGGGTGGTATGTGAGTGCCAGTACCAGTGCAGTCTGGAGCAGGCGTGAGAGTGCATGTCATAGTCCATGGAGGCCTGTTGGGGTGGTGTGTGAGGCAAGGCATTTGTGGCCAGTAGGAGGTGTGTGGGTCGTGTGGATGTGTGCTAGTCCTTGGAGCTGGGCGCATGTTGTAAGAGTGTGTATGTAGAAGGCAGGGCTTGGAGACTGACCATGGTGGGTGTGCAGAAGGGTGGGATGACCTGCAGGTTTGGGGAATCCCTGTGAGATTTGTGTGTGAGAGGGGCTCACGCAGCTTCTGTTGGATATCAGAATTGTATGTCTTCATGGAGCACTGTACAAGTTGTCCTCTGGATGGAGGAAACTGGGAGCACCTGCTGCCCTGGCTTTTGAGAGATTGCCTGGTCCCTGGGGACAGTCTTATAGAGTCCCAGACTCTCCTGGGTCTAGGCAGAGGTTTTTGTGTCCCTATGAGCCCTCCCCCGACATTCCTTTGGCCTTTGAGGGGGAGGGGGCCTAGCCCATTGGGATCCCTCCCAGAGGGAGGGGAAGATTCCTGAGACCTCCTCCACTCCCCACCTCCTCACATGCCACTGGCTTCCTTGCCCCTCCCTGTAAAGGAAAGGTTCTTGTACCCATTCTGAAGTAGGACAAACTGAGAATTCATGGCTGGTTTGGGAGAGGATGCTGGGTGTGGATTTTTAGCAATCCTTGGGCCAAGGCTGGGACCAGGGCCAGGAGAAGTTTCTGGAGAACCTAGGACCTTAGCTTATCTAGCTGGTCCAGAGTGGTGGGTGGTGAGTTTGGGGCTTTACTTGACTTTCCCAATCCTGGTGGTTCCTGCTCCCCTAGGCACTGACCTGTGGCCTGGACCCACCCTCCATCCCATGCCCAATACAGCGGGGGCGGGCAGAGGGCGGGGCTGCTGCCAGATCTAGTCAGACAGGTGGAGCCGCTGGGGCAGGAGTCTCACAAGAGCCAGGCTGCCAGAGAGGAAGGGCTCTGCAAGAGAAGAGAGCCCAGCAAGCCTACAAGGAGAGGGGAGGAGAAGAGAGGCTGGAGGTGAGAGCCCTGGAAGGCAGAGGGGAGACCTAGRGAGAGGAAGAACCACAGACCAGTAAGGTTCTGGAAGGGACTGGGGAGGTGAGAATCTMGGCAGGGGAGAGGAGGGACCCTGGGGAGATCCGGAAGGGACTGGACTGGAGGGGAGGATAGATTGAAAGGGAGAATCCCTGGAGAGAAGAATTTCCTCTTATAGCTGGGGAAGTGAGAGACTTTGACAAAGAAGGGTGAAGAGGTTCACTGGTTCACTGGTTCACTGGAGTTGAACTCTCTGTTGGTGAGAAGGGAGGGCTCCAGAAAGGGACCTGGAATTGAGAAGAGGGGAGGCCAGGAAGTAAAACTGTCTGAAGAGGCACCGAGAGGAGAGTAAGGTCTGGAGAGGAGAGGACCAGTGGAATAGCTCTCCCCCAGGCAGGCAGGATGTGTGGGAGCAGATGCCCTCACCAAACTGCCTCCTCTTCCCTCAGACCCCAACAATTCCATTTACTGTGATTCTGTCCTTTTCTCAATGAGGCATCAGAATTGTTCTGTGTCTTTAGCCTGTTATCTGGTTCTGTGTCTTATCTTCGTGGGTCAGGTGTGGGATGGGGATACAGACAGGATGTGTGCCTGTCTGACGTCCATCCTCCATCCCTCCCTACAGTCCCTAGCCAGGATGGAGGCTATTGTGAACTTGTACCACGAGATGATGAAGTGTGCAGGTGAGATGCTATCCAGCAGCCCTTCCCTCCCTTCTTTCCAGGGATCCTGGGATTTAGGGCTTTGTCTTAATGGAGAGTCCCTATGAATCCCTTGACCCTTTGTGACCTGACCTGAAAGGTATAGATCTGGTGAGGTTCCTTTGAACCCGTGACCCTTCCTGACTCCTTGACATTCATTCACAGATCCCCGGGTCCAGGGTTACCCTCTGATGGAGTCCCCCCTGCTAATGACCTCCATCCTCTTGACATACGTGTACTTTGTCCTCTCACTTGGACCTCGCATCATGGCCAACCGGAAGCCCTTTCAACTCCGAGGTTTCATGATTGCCTACAACTTCTCATTGGTGGCACTCTCCCTCTACATTGTCTATGAGGTGGGCCTGGATGTCTAGGCTTTAAATCCTGCCAGCAGGATAAGGGGTGGGCCAGAGGAGCAGAGCATCTCTCCTTTCCAGAGGTTCAGATTCATTTCTTCAGCTAGAGATGGGAGGGATTGCTGGGAGAGGGAACTCTGGTGGTCTAATTCACACTCTTCACAGTTCCTGATGTCTGGCTGGCTCAGTACCTACACCTGGCGCTGTGATCCTGTGGATTATTCCAACAGCCCTGAGGCTATTAGGGTAAGTAAATAGGGGCTGGGATTAGGTCTTAATCAATGACTTGAGCCCATGGCCTAATCTAGAGAGGCTCTTGAAACAGTGGGGGGTGGGGGGATCCTAAGGCTGCCTTGATTGACTTTTTGCAGATGGTTCGAGTGGCCTGGCTCTTCTTATTCTCCAAGTTCATTGAGCTAATAGATACGGTAAGTTGTTATGAGATGTATGAACTGGGGAGGTGGGGAAGAAAAGCCCCTGGCTCTGAACACCTCCCTGATGATCTTTATTCAGGTGATCTTTATTCTCCGGAAGAAAGATGGGCAGGTGACCTTCTTGCATGTTTTTCATCACTCAGTGCTTCCCTGGAGCTGGTGGTGGGGGGTAAAGATTGCCCCAGGTAAGTATTCAAGACCATTGGAGGAGTGAGCACTAGGAACCAGAGGCTCAACTCTCCTAACCCTGTTTTACTCTCTCCCACAGGTGGAATGGGGTCTTTCCATGCCATGGTAAACTCCTCTGTGCATGTTATCATGTACCTATACTACGGATTATCTGCCCTTGGCCCTGTGGCTCAACCTTATCTTTGGTGGAAAAAACACATGACAGCCATTCAGCTGGTAAGGGGTCTGCTGGCCTATAACCATCTCAACATTCCTAGTCTAGATCCTTTTTTTGTAACCTATCTCACCTTTGACCCTATCCCTCCAGTCCTTACTTAACCCATGCCTTTCTCTGTCCTAGATCCAGTTTGTCCTGGTCTCGCTGCACATCTCCCAGTACTACTTCTTGCCCAGCTGCAACTACCAGTACCCAGTCATTATCCACCTCATCTGGATGTATGGCACCATCTTCTTCATTCTGTTCTCCAATTTCTGGTATCACTCTTATACCAAAGGCAAGCGCCTGCCCCGAGCACCTCAGCAAAATGGAGTTCCCAGTATTGCCAAGGTCAAGGCTAACTGAGAAGTGTGGCCTAGATAGATGCCCACCTAAGTGCCTCAGGACTGCACCTTGGGCAGCATCCTTCAGTGTCCTCCCCACCTACACCTGTGACCAGGGCTCAGGAGGTCAGGACTGAACAGGGGACTGGCCCTGCCCCCTGCCCACAGCTGGTCTACAAGGGCCACTGCTTCCATTCCTCACACTTCTGGCGGACAGCTCCAGGGATGTGGCCTCATTGCCCTCTGGCATTTCAGAGTTGGGGGCTGAAAGGGCTGGACATTTACTTCCCCCTCTCTGCTTTARACTTGGGAGAGGAACACTCAGGGCTGGCCCCCACCAGGGTCTTGTGGCCTTTTTCCTCACACTGAAGAGGTCAGCAATAATCTGTCACTATGGACCCAGGCTCCCTCCCTCCACCCCACACYGAAGCTGGAGCTTCTGGGCCAAAGGTCAGGGTATGTGGGGGGGGAGGGATGCTGGGAATGTAGCCTGTGGAGGCTACTTACTCACTTGTGTCTTAATTAAAGTGACAGAGGAAACCACCAAGGCTTTGTGTGTACATGTGTGAGTGGAACTACAAACAGGAGGTTTCTCACAGGAGAGAGGAGCCCCTGGGAAGGCTACTGGGACCTAGGTCTTACAAGGAAAAGAAAGGAAGACATGACTTTATTAGAAAAATAAAAAAAACTGAGGTGATGGGTTGGTGTGTCATTAACGGATGCCTTGATGGATGAGGCTGCTTTTAGCTGCACTGGCCTTCTCCCGTTCCCGTCGTCGTGCAGGGTCCAACTCAAAGCAGCGCCACAGCCGCAGGGTCTCATCTGCTGCTGCTGATGCCACTGTGGCCCCATCTGGGCTCATGGTCAGACTCAGGACCCGTGCTGTGTGACCTAGGACAAATTAAGAGTAATTTATGTGAACACTGACATATACATAGTCCTCTAATTTTGACAGCCCCCTTGAAATGTGTAGTACACCGTAAGATTAATTAAGATATACAAGTCAGTGGTTTTCAGTGTATTCAAAGTTGTGCAACCATTGTAACTATTTAATCTCAAAATATTTTCATCACTCCCATTACCTTCTCCCCTAGGCCCCAATAATCTGTTTTGTCTCTGCATTTACCTGATCTGGATGTTTCATATACATGGAGTCATACAATATGTGGCTTTTTGTCTCTGCCTTATTTCATTATGCCACCTACCTTTGAGTTCAGCCACTTTGGCCATGGTTGGGTATTTCCAAATAACCAGCTGATTCTGGGCAAAGCCATGGCCTGAGATAAGCTCCTTATAGTGGGGAGACCAGAGGATAGAGCACACCTGAGGAGAGAAGCTGGTGTAGGTATGAAATACAGCTAAGGATACTCAAATCAGAACTGAGTCCATTCTAACATAAAGCACCCTGCTAGGTACTACAAACTCACTTGAATGGTCATAGTCCTTAAAAAACCCTTTTAGAGACAAWTTTCCATTTTATAGATAATCAGAAAGAAGTTTGATAAATTGCATACAAGTTGTTAGGTGACAGAGCCAGAATCTGAACTTAAGCCATCTGGCTCTAGAGTCCATTCCTAGAGTAAAGGCTACATGTTGGGGGAATGAAAGGAGAGGAAGCCAGAGTGGCTGAAAGGAGGCCTACCCTCAAGACCTCAAATATCCTAATGGATTGGGATTGTATGCTGTAGGTGATGAGAAGCCAGTATAGGTTTAAGGAGGATAGTAGAGACCACTCAGATCAGAGAGCAAAAGGATAGATTGGAGGAGATGAAGAATGTTTAGAGGTAGGCATGGTGTTACACAGCTGAATTTCAGCTATTCAGGAAGCTGAGGCAGGAGGATCACAAATTCAAGGTCAGCCTCCACTACTCAGTGGGACCCTGTCTCAAAATAGAAAAGAACTGGGCAGGGCTGGAGTTGTAGCTCAGTGGTAGAGGCACTTGCCTGGTATGTGTGGTACCCTCAGCACCACATATAAATAAAAGATCCACTGACAACTAAAAAATAAAATTATAAAAAAGGGTTGGGCGCCTAGTTCAGTGGTAAAGCTCTTTTGGATTCAATCCCTTGTATGGTTAAAAAAAAAAAAAATGCTTGGAGATCAGTGAGGAAACCTTATTGTGCCTTTCCTGGGAAGGATGAGGCGAAGTGGAGAGGACAGATGTGAATGATATTCTAAGGTAAAACATAAGATTCTGGTGATTCTGGTGAGGATAAAAAATTCTAGTATACCTCTCAGACTTCTGAGCACGTTCTGTCATTCTGAAGCAATATAAGAGGAAGAACACATTTCAGGGAGATGGGACATTAAGGAGGTGGGAGTGCCTAGAGGACATAACAGCCAGAGATAAGTCAGACTGTTATCTGACTTATGGAGCTAATGAATAAGTACTAAGTCAGAAGTTTGGAAATCACTAAGGTATAGAGTTGGTGAAGACATTGGAGTAGACATGGTTGCCTAGGCGGACCACACAGAGTAATAATACTTCAGGACAGGCTGGAATASGTAAAAGACTACCTGGGAATGGGCATCTACAGCACTCAGACAGGCTCCAGAGCAGACATTCCAGATGCGAATGTGTCGGTCACTGGTGCCCCCTCCTGTTGCTAGGATATTGGACTGCCATGGACACCATGCTACAGCCTAGGTGGGACAAAGGCAAGGTCAGTGGGTACTAGAGATAAACAAGAGGCTATCAAGGTTATAAGATGAACCCAATCCAATCTCAACATCCCATCACCCTTAATATTCCCCAGGTTATAGCTCTGGAATTGTAGAGACCTAGCCCAGCCCCTATCTCACCTTAACAGCACCTTGATGCTGGGTGAATGTTTGCAGGGGAACCCAGCCACTCTCTCCTGGAGCACTAGGCCACACGTTGACCAAGTTGTCATTGCCACCACTAGCCAAATGTCGTCCATCTGGGGCCCAACACAGTCCACACACTTCCTGGCTGTGGCCACTCAGTGTGGCCACATGGTGGTCTGCTACCCGAACATCATGGTGGTGGATGTGGCCAGAGCGTGAGCCACTGAGGGAAGAATTAAGAAATTCAGGTTCTACAGCAGCCCCAAATGCAAGCCAGAGCTGCTTTAGTTTAGAGGTATTTAGTCAGAGGCATGGGGAGGCAGAAATCAGACTGATTTTGCCAGTCTAGCAAAAACCACTGACCTGGACAGGATATAGCTATTCCAACTTAGGGAGCTCACTCGGGCAGAGTGACTAGTCATGTTTCGAAGTCGTTTCTGCTGTTGTACATCCCATAGCTAGAGAGAGAACACCACTAAGATCAGAAATTGAGGTTTGGCAATAAATATCCTCTAGCTAGACAAGTCCTTGGGGTCTGATGTCAATAGAACTGCAGTGTAGGTACCAGTCTCACCTGCACCTCTGCATTGCTGGTGCCTACAGCCAGGTAGTTGCCCTCTTTAATCCAGGCCACAGAGGATACATAGTCTCCAGGCTGCTCCATTTGCAACAACTGCAGGATGTCACCAGAACTTGCACTCCACAAATATACACTGTTGTCCAGTGCCACAGCCAATACATTTCCAGAGCTCCAATCCACAAGGTTTAGGTCTAGCAGAGGCAGAAAGGGAAGAGCATGAAATTCCTTGTTTGCCTGGTCCCCAAGTCCTTTTTTCTCCATTGATGGGCAACAATAAAACTGCACTTACAATAGTCATTTCGGATTTCAGGAGCATCCAGGATCCGATCTGGCAGGGAAGGAATGTAACGGCAGGTCTTCCGGCTGGAGCCAGGAGTGGCCTTCTGGCTATAGAGTACTTTCAGTCTGTTCTGGTAGCCTGTGGCAACGGAGTGGGTCTAGACCATGGGAAAACTGACACCTCCCTTGCCCTCAGCCTTAGGTGAGAAGAGCAAACAGCATCTCCCTCAGTCCCTGGGAGTGGACTGACACCAACCTCCAAGAACCAAGAACTTCAGGTCTTACCTTCTGGGGCATTCTGTGGTTTTCCACTGAGTCGGAGGATCTTAGCTTCTTCCACATCAAAACCGTTCAGGTTCAAAGCCCAGGCTTTCTGATGCTCCTAGCATATAAGAGTGATGGTGAGGCAGGGTGGGATCCAGAGGCCACAGTCAGATCCCATGCCTTGCTCCTCTCTGAGAAACATACCTTTTTTGTGGGCGTCTGGCTGTTTTCAGGCTGGTTCTCCTTGCTCAGGAGGAAGCTAGCCACCTCCATCTGGGAAGCACTGCGATGGGGGATATAGCGGTCACCGCCAGGTTTGCTAGGGGTGGTCTGAACCTTGGAATTAGATTTGCCTGGGGCCGGGAAAGAAAAGCCATACAGTCTGACCAGGTTCCTGGTGGGAACACGAAGCCTTCTCTGGGCCATCCCCTCTCCTTCCTAGTGTCCCGTCGCATGCCACTAACCAGGAGTTCGGCCTGGGGTCCTGCCAGCGCTGTGGGATCKGTTGGCTGCCCGCATGGGCGAGGGGGCCGGCCCCGCTGCTTCTTTGGCTTTGCGCTGCCAGCGCGCGAGGGGTGCATTGGGGATGGGTGCGTCCAGCTGAAGCAGGGAGTGCAGGTCGCTCTCGAACACGAACTGCGCCATGGGAGCGCCCGGAAGGGAAAGGGGTCCTGAGAGTTGGTGCCCACTGTGAGCCCTGGAAGAAGAGGCGACCAGGCTCAGGGAAGGCTTGAGGCTCCTTCGTTCCCGGCCGGCTTCACTATCAGGCCGCCCTCGGCTGCAGCCCCTCCCGGCCTAGCAGCTCCCCCACCCCCCGGCGAATCCCTCGGTTCGGCCCAGCAGCCCCTCACCGTGCGTTCCGGAGCAGGTTCCAATCCCGGACSGGCTTCTGCACTACTGAGCAGTACCTCTTAAACTCTCCGCTCCGAGCGCTCATTGGCTCCTTCAAAACCCAACCGTCGCAACCGTTGTTCTCGCCCATTGGCCTCTATGGCATAGAGGGCGGGTCTTCCGGTACAAGACAGGTCTCACGAGAGTGCAGTAAAGGAGCGTGATTTGAATGAAGGGTGGGAGAGAGGTCTGAAGCCGGTATCCCTGGGAGAAGGAGACTGAAAGTGGTAGGGGCAGGCGCGGCGCGCGTAGGGCGGGGCCTGCGTTGCTTCCGCGTTCCCGAGTCGCTTCCATTCATTCTTCAGGGTTCCCTCACCCGCTGCAGGGATCGGCCTCGTTCGCCTGAGGGTCAGAGATCCCGAGGAAGTGCTCACGTAACGCCTACCAGTGGATCATATTTATGGTACCTACTCGCAGGACTCGGTGGAATGACCCGAAGCACTTGAGCCCTTCAGAGAAGGGAAAGGCGAGCCTGCGGGTGGCCGACAAGCAGGGGTGGGGACAGGAAGAAGACCGGAGCTAGTTAGGGTGCTACCCGCTAGCCAGGAACCCTGCTAGGAGGAACACGTGTGTTTGTTTTATTTTGCTTCTCGTTTTACAGACAAGGAAAATGACGCTGAAAGAGAAGTGAATGGAAAATAAGTTTAGACTGCCCTATGGGAGACACTGTTGCTTACTCTCTGGGGCTTTAGAGGTGTCTAGAACAATAGACATCCTATCTCACCTGTGCTTGTGCACCCTTCTTATGGGCAACACATTCGTATTTTATAGATAAGGAAAACAAGGCCCAGGGAAGGAATTTGCCCAAGGTTATTCAAAGAAGTTGGTAGGAATCCAAGTTCAGTTCAATCTAATGTTCTAATGATGACTTGAATGAATTATGTCATTATAATTCACGCTGTCACTCAGAAGTGAAGCAGCAGTAATAGAAATAATGGGCACCATTTATTGACTGTCTGCTAACTACTATGTTAAAACAGTTACATTCATTTTTTTAGTTAAATCCTCGAACCCACAAGGCAAATATTTGCATTTCACAGAAAAAGAAACTGGGTCAGAATGAGGTTAGAAACTTGAGCAAAGGCACACAACCAGTATTAAGTAGTGGAGCCAGGATTCAAAGTATTGAAGTAACTTCTGCAATCCTAACAATATGTTATACTGTTTAGGAATGGCTGACAAGTCAGGTTTTCAATCATTAGCCAGAGATCAACCCTGATGATGACAGAGAAAAAACTATGGCTGTTAGTCCAAACTTAATATTGTTATCTTCAACTTTGAAGAATTCATTTTTTTCTGTTTCCAATTCACTTGGAAAACAAGAGGGTTAATGTCTTAGGGTTATAAGTGGGGAGTTCCTGAACCCCAAAAAACTTAGAAAAGGCAGTCTAGTGTCAGGCTTAAGTGTTAAGCTAAGGAGTTTGGATATTATCTATCAGGTACTGTGAAGCCATTGGGGCTTTCTGTGTAGAGAAGGACCAAACAAAACATATCTGAGGTGGAAAACTGGCCAAAAATTGCAACTTCTGGACTCAGGATAATTAGAGAAGAAGGATGAGAATACAACCTCAGAGAATCTGTACATTTCAAAGTAAAGGCATGAAAGAGGTTATATGGACATGGATCTCACAGTGGGAGGGCCTGGAATGTGATAGAAAGTGGTCAAACTGAATGATGACAGTAGAGGTCAACTCTGACCATGGAGAAATAAATCACTGGTGACTTTGGAGAGGACATGATCAGAAAAGTGGTGCTGGAGACCTATTTAAAAGGGGTTGTGCAGGGTTCGGTGGCCCATGCCTGTAATTCCAGTGGCTTGGAAGGCTGAGGCAGGAGGATTATGAGTTCAAAGCCAGCCTCAGCAAAAGTGAGGCACTAAGGAACTTAGTGAGACCCTGTCTCTAAATAAAATACAAAATAGGGCTGGAGATGTGGCTTAGTGGTTGAGTGCCCCTGGTACCAAAAAATAAAAATTTTAAAAAAGGGTTGTAGCCAGGCATGGTGGTGCACACTGCTAATCCCAGAAAGTGGAGGCAAGAAGATTGCAAGTTGAAGGCCTGCTTCAGCAACTAAGTAAGACCCTGTTTCAAAGTAAATAAATAAATAAATAAATAAAAACCGGCGTTGGGGTTGTGGCTCAGTGGTAGAGTGCTCACTTAAAGCAGATGAGGCACTGGATTTGATCCTCAGCATCACATAAAAATAAAGGCATTGTGTCCACCTACAACTAAAATAATAAAATAAAATAAATTTWAAAAATAAAATAAAAACTGGAGATGAAGCTCAGTGGTAAAGCATTCCTGGGTTTAATCCCCAGTATCAAAATAAACAAAAGGGGTTGCAGAAAGAATGGGATAGGGAGAATGTGGTGTGGAGCCTGCAATCATGGGCTACTTCTGTAGCCCAGCCTCTGATCTCTGTAAGTTTGCTAGGACTACTGTAACAAATTATAAATTGGGCCGCTTAAATGAGAAAAATCTGTCTCACAGTTCTGGGGACTAGAAGTAACAGGTCAAAATGTCAGTAGGTTTAGTTCTTTCTGAGGCTGTGAGGAAGAATCTGTTCTATTCCTCTCCCCTAGCTTCTGGGGTTTCCTGGCAATCTTTTTCCTGGCAATACTTATAGAAGTATTCCCCTGATCTCTGCCTTCATCTCCACTTGGCTTTCTTCCTGTGTTGATTGATCTATGTCCAAATTTCCCTTTGTATAAGAGTACCATTCATATTGGATTAGGGCCTAGGACCTCATCTTAACAAATTTTTTATGCAATAACCCTATTTCCAAATAAGGTCATATTTGAGGTACTTGGGTTAAGACTTCAACATAAGAATTTGGGAAGGGGACACAATTAAACCCATAATATCCCATTAATGGAAAAAAAAAAAAAAACCAAAGGCCAAGAAAACCCACTGCTTCAGGCCATATGAATCAGCCTTGCAGAGAATAGGGCAGGGTGGAAAAAGATAGAGTGGATCTGGATAGGGCAAATGGATAACATACAGCATATCCATTCCCATGATTCACCCCCCACCCCAAGCCATGTTAAAAGTTCTGACTCTACTCCTAAGGACTCAAGGTGGGGGGAGCATGAGCTTGAGCTGTTTATTCCCCTGGCTTCCTCCTGGCCACATCCCCAGAGATTGACTGCATGACCCTACCAAAGGCCACAACACCTGTCAGGCAGCCCTCTCTCCAGGTCTGGTAACCACTCCCTCTCCTTACTCCTGATGTTTAGGATTGATGCCAGCTTCCTGATTTTTGTTAGCCTTGGGGATACTGCATTGTTCTTTGATGGTTTTCCCAAATCTTGCCCTCATCTTTTGCCCTTTATTAAACTCTCAACAAATTACCCAGTTTGAGTCTACCATTGGTTCCTTCCAAGACCCTGATTTAAAACAGGGGGTATATTTGGAGCTAGCAAACAAACAAAAATCATTTGTTTAAGAATTAGAATGGGTTAGGGGAATCCATAACCCGAGTTGTTTAAGCATATTTATTGCTGCTCATGAATGGCTTAGAACACGAAGGAAGTTAGTATGAGGTTAAGGTAACATTGTCCAGAAAGATTTTATTCATTTACAAAACATTTGTTGAAGGCCTAGCATCATGCACCACGTGATATTCTAGGTGCTAGAGGAAAAGGACAAATAAATCATGGTTCTTGTCCCCTGCAAAGAACTCACAATATAGTAGCAGGAGGCAGACATGTAAACAGTTACTTGCATAAAGTATAACAATACTAAAGAAGTCTGGGTTGGATCTAAGAACTTTGGAATTGTCAACATATAGTAAAGTCCATGAGAACACACAGGCTGGAGATTAAGAATGGAGTCTTGGAGCTGGGGATGTAGATCAGTGGCCAAAAGCATGCCTAGCAAGGTTCTGGATTACATCCCCAGTACTGCCAGAAGAAAAACAAGTAATGGAATCTTGAAAGACTACAATAGTTAAAGAATCAAAGAAATTCTGGAATAAGTGAAGAAGGAATAATTATAACAGTAGTTCAGATATATTAAGCATTTACTATATCCTAGGCACTTTTGTTTTACCTAGGTTGTCTCACTAATTCTTTTCATGACACCAGTGGTGCTGTTGTTATCTGTTTTATTGATGCAAAAACTAAGGATCAAAGACATTCAGTTTTTTGCCTTAGGTTGCACAGCTAGCAAGTATGAAAGACAGAAACTGAACCTATGTCTGGCTCCACAGTTTATCTCTAACAGTATACTTAGGCAGGAGCAGAATCCAAAGAGGTGCCAGTGTGGAAGCCAAGGTAGGAAAGAATTTAAAGGAGAAATTAGTCAACTATAACAAATGCCACAGAGAGATCAAATAAATTGATGATTAACAAGATCCTATGGGCCTTTATAACTAGAAGATTTGAACTGAACTTTGCCTGAGCAGTTTCATTAGCAAAGTGGTAGAAGGGGAACTAATAGAAGTATTCTGGAGTCAATGAGAGGTGGAATTTGGTGTTCAAGGGGACAGAGGGTAAAAGTCAGAGAAATTAGCCTGGCTGTAGAGAAAGGGGCCCAGATCTGGCAGCAGCAGCATGAAAGATCAGTTCTATGAGGTTGAGCTAGGTGGGAAGGCAAAGGGGGAATGAAAGTGAGATCTGAGGTGTTGGTGTTGGAGGGTAGAATAGGGTAGAGTGGTTCACAGAGAGGTCTAGATCTGTCCAGAGTACTGGGAGTGAGGAGCCAGCCTGCAAGGCTGCTGCCAACAGCTTAGTGGTAGGTAGGAATGGTTGGCAATGTGGGTAGTGCAGCAGGACCCTGACTCAGCCATGGGTGGGCATGCAGAGAGGGGCATGGTTCCCAGGCAAGAAGGMTGCAATCCTCGGTAGTCCATCTGGGCTTGGGAGGGACACAGGGGCAAGGGAATCCTCTCTGAAGACCTAGGTAAGATTTCAAGGAGGCTGGGTTCCACTTCTTCATAGGTATCTGTGACTGTGGCCTTGGGCTGGAGAGATACGAAAGGAGTGGATTAGAGGAGATGGTGTGTTGGGTGGGTGGGTAGGGGTGGGAATGGATTGTGTGGAAAGGAGCATTGGGCTGGGGTTAGTTCCTGGGGGTGGGTATGCTGCTAGGCAAGGACCTTGAACAAGTTACACTGTGGGTTCAAGGATCATTGGTGATGGGGAAAGGAGTAGGGAAGGAAGAAGAGTACACTCACCGGACTCAGGGCCGCACTATCCCTAAGGTACTGGCCTAGGACCCGGTGAAGGTCTGGAAGTGAGGGCCACAGGGCATGCCTCAGTCTCCTAGAGAACAAGGAAGAAAAGGAGAATGAATCTTGGGAGTGAGTTGGGAGGGATAAGGAAAGCACTGAAGTGGGGCAGTSGGGGAGGCAGTGAGGCTGAGGGCTAAGCCTCAGAGAGACAGGAGCATAGCTAAGGCTATAAAGTAAGGGAGAGGAGTAGAGGTGGGAAGAAAACCTCAGGTGGGAGAGGGAAGCTGGTGTATAAAGTGTAGCACAGAGCTTTCTCAAACATTCCTATCTCAGGGCATTTGCCCTTCTTCCTGCCTGGACACAATTTATTCCCTCACTTCATTTAAGTCTCTCCTAAATCTTAACAGAGACATCATCCCTGACTACCTTAAAACTGTAACATCTCCTTTCCCCATCACTCTATTTCCTGCTATATTTTCCTTTATAGCACTTATTGCATATTTATTACACTGTTACATTCATTTGTTTTTAGCTGTCTTACCCCACTATAGCACAAGCTCTTTGAGAGAAAAAGTTTATTTTTTCACTCCTAAATCTCCAGTGTCTGGCCGATAATAGGTGCTCAAGAAATTATTAGAATCAGTGGAGCTTATTACTAAATTCCTAGGGAGAGTGGTCTATGTGGGAAGAGCATGGGTTAAGCTGTGTTGGGACCTCCAATTTTTGTTTTGTTTTGGTGCTGGGAGTCAAACCCAGGGCCTCACACAAGAGGCAAATCTGTCCATTCTCCCTTCCTTCATTCATTTATTTTTGGTTCTAGAGACTGAACTCAGGGGTTCTTTACCACTGAGCCACATCCCAGCCCTTTTTATTTTATTTTATTTTTTTTATTTTGAGATAGGGCCTTGATAAGTTGCATAGGGCCTCACTGATTTGCCAAAGCTAGTTTCAAACTTACAATCCTCCTTAAGCAAAAACTTTTTTAACATTTAGCTACAGCCCCAGCCCTATCCTTCAGTTTCTTTAGCCTCACATTTTCATGTGGAAAGACTTTAGCTGGGCATTTCTGGCCTCTTCCACTACTTCACTCCCATTTCCTTAGGAGTGGTTGGGGAGAAAGAACTGAGAATGCCTAGTTCAGAAGCTCCCTCTCCCTCTTCTCTGCAAATGTTTTTGTCATTACCTTCTACCTTCAGAGAGGCTACATTCCAGTCTGTTCATACATATAGGCAGGTTGAAAGTTCAGAGAAGGGACTGGGGTGTAGCTCAGTGGGATAGCACTTGCCAAGGATGTGCAAAGCCTTGGACTCAATCCCCAGTACCAATAAAACAAACAAACAAAAAACATAAAAAAGTTCAGAGAGTGACATGTTTAAAGATGGAAGCCTCCAACACATTGCCTGGAGCACCTGACTTCTGAGCTAAGACTGTAAGAACGAGCTGATATTACCAGTTGAAGGGTTGAGGTGGAATGGATTCTATCCTTTGTGTTTATAATTTCCAGTGACATTTCTCCTCAGCCTCCACATATGTGAGTCACTCATTACTAACATTTATTTAAGGGCCTGCTACTTGGCAGGCATAGTGCTAAGAACTTAAAAATGACCAAGTAAGGTCTAATATAGGCATACAAAGAAATAAATACAGGGCTGGGGGTATAGCTCAGTAGCAGAGCATGTGCTTAGCAAGGTCCTAGGTTCAATCTCCAGTACTCAAAAACAGAAAAATAAATAAATACTGTAAAATGCTATTGGTACCATATTGGGGCACAAAAGAGCAGCCAATAAGGGAGGGTCAGGGAGGTTTCTTAAGAGCTGGTGGAGAAAGCTATTTAAAGATGAATGGGTATTAGCCAGCCAGGAAGGATATTCCAGGCAGAAGGGACATGATGTGCAAAGACACTGACAAGTAAGACAGCCTGACTTGTGGAGGAAATCAACACTTTGGCAAGGCTGATGCGCAGGGTAGAAGATGGTGGACGTGCTGGCAGGAAACAGATTTTGCAGAGCCTTGCCTGTCATTCTACACATTCTGGATTCTCTCCTGGGGAGCTACTGAAAAGATTTAAGGTGGGGAAAGACAGGCTCATGTGTGCGTTTTAAAAAGATGATTCTGATGGCTGTGTGAAGCTAGATTGAAAAGAACAGGCTCCGTTTCAGTGAGTCAGATTGTGTCTGTCGGGCTACAAAAAGGGAGCCATTGTTTGAGCTAGGTTTTAGGAGGTGGAATGACCAGACCTGATGGCCACTGGATGGGGTGGGGGTGGGGAGGGAGAAGCATAAGTGCCTGAGCTTGCGCCAAAGGTGGGCAGTAGCCAGGAGGTAGGGCTGTTGGAGGACAACGGTAGAGTGGGCAAGTTAAGAGGGTGTCACTGCTGGAAGCGGCTGAAGCCATAGGTATAGGCGTGCGGTGGTCCGAGAGCAAGTGTCATGGAGTGACCCCAGGATGCTGGTTTAGAAACCTCTGCCCTTGGAGGAGGTGGTACCTGTAGCGCGCAGGAAACTGCCACCTCAGCAGCAGCAGGCCCAGGAGGGCGCTGACGCCCAGCAACAGGAGCAGAGCGGTCACCAAGGAGATCCAGGCTAGGGACAAAACCCGTCAGATCTCGGCCGACTCTTGGCCCGCCCGGCTGGCGCGCCAGATCCTGCCGCGTCTCCGCCCCTCAAGCCACCCTTGGTCACCCCAGGTCACCCCTGGGTACCGAACGCACAGCACATCCACGCAGCCTCAGACCGGTGCGCTCAGGACCCCGCCCTGTGACCAGCGCCCCGCCCCTCGCGCAGCCGTAGAAAGGCTTTGGCCACGCCCGGCCCCGGCTCACCGGTCTCCGAGGCGGTCTCTACTCTCGCTGGGTCTGACCAGGCGCTCCAGGGGCCTTGGTAGGTGGGGCCGTTGAGCCTAGCGCGCAGCTGTAAGTGGTAACGAGATCTCGGGCGCAGCTCCAAGGTCCCTCCCCTGGCCCCGAGAGGTGGCTCCAACATCTGCGCAGAGATCTCACATTCATACTGACCCCGAGATATGAAGACCCCTTCCGGGTTCTTTTATTACTATTCCTGGTCGGGCATAGCCGCTCAGACCTACACTCAGATACTCAGCCACACGGACCATGGACGAGTACCACTCATGCTGCAAAGGATGCCAGATTTGCCATAGGTGCTGGAGGGTACAAGTATCATGTGCACGAACAGTGAGACTTAATCACTTAGCAAACCGTTATGAATTGCTTGAGAAATGCCAAACATTGCACTAAGCACTGTAGAAAAAGATAAATAAATAGAACCGTCTCTCACATATCTAATGATGGAGACTTCCAAACAAGTAAATAATCACAACAATTAATTAGTAGGGGGTACCATGAGAGCACAAAGAAACGTGAGTGCTGCCTGTGCTGCTAGGTTGGGGGTCACAGAATAGTTCAGTATGCTGAAAGCACAAGTGGGAAGGATGGATGGGTAAAGAGAAGGCAAAAGCAGTCGTACTAGGAGGCTGAGGAGTGTTTGTACATTATTCAACTTGTTAATAAGTAAGGAGAAGAAGGGGTAAGGGGAAAGAAAGAGTGCCAGTGACAGAAGAGAGCTTAAAGAAGAAATTCTGGATGGTTTTATTTTACAAATTTATAGTCGAAGGAATGCATGGTTGCATCAGGATAGTGATTACTTTTGATGGGAAGGTGACTGTAGAGGGCATAAGGAGATTCTGGGGTGCTGGAAATAATTTATGTCTTGATCTTGGTAATAGTTGCATGGGTGTATACCCAAAGAAGATTAACTGTACATTTAAAGTTTGTATGCTTCATATAAAATATACCTTGGTAAAAACAAAATACATTCAGGAAGAAAGATGAATTCAGTTTTGAATACATTGAGTTTGAACTCAACACAGTCCTTCTGATAAGAAACATAATAAACCCTAGGAACACACACTATCAAGCTCTGCAGGCATTTGTCACTTGACCATACCTTCCAATCCTGATGGTCTTCTCCCGTGTATCGCAGCTGATAGCAGGTCTCTTGGGCTGCCCAAGGTGATGGGTGCTGCCATTCCAAATCCAGCTGCCCACTGGAGATCTCCCTCCAAAGCAGGTTTGGGGTGGGGATGAGCACTACAGGGATTTTAGCAGGACTAGTTTAAGCCCTTCTGTGTGTGAGACATCATGCTAACAGGGTCATGGAGCAGAAGTGCCAGAGTTGGGAATCCTGGACATAGGGTCGGATTTGGGGAGGGGAGGCTGTGTGGTTGGAATGAGGAAGAAAGTTCTTACCAACTTGGTGGATCCAAAAAGGAGAACCCAGGTAGCTGTAAACAGCACCCTTGGCTGTGGTCACCTCTACAAGGATGTGAATAACACTGTCATTTTGTGACTTGAAGTGGCATCGAGAGAACTGAGGGGGCTGTAATCCTGGATTTGTTTCCTCCTCCTCTTCACACTTCTCCCACATGGGGTCCCTAAGAACCAGTCCCACAGAGTCATTAAATCAGGCCTGCCCCAGAAACTAATCCCCATCCTTACCATGATACAGGACTATGGTCTATATGGATTATAATCTAACTTCTCCCTTGGATAGCCCTCCAGAGCTTTCCCTTTATCTCTGTCTTGATACCCAGCCTCTTCCCCTTAAGGAAAGAGCTAGCATGATATATGAAAATAGTATAGTCAATAGAGTTCAGGTCTTGGCCTACTAGTGTATAATGATGGGCAAAATATTTATTTCTGCTTTAATTTCCTTCCTTTTATAAAATAGGTTGACACCTACCTCACAGGATTGTTTCAAAGATTAAAGAGTCTTCATCTTTCTGGAGGGAAATATCTTTAGAGTTTTAAATTTATTCTCATAAGCAGCCCTCTTATTTGGTTATTTGCCATTAGTTTATTACAACCATCTTCTAACTGGTTTTTCTGCTGCTGTTTTCACCATTATCTTCATTTAGTTCTCCACATKGCTACCAGATTTTGTTTTCAAAAATATTGCTCTGGTAATGTCCAGAATATATCACAAATCTGTTTATTTTGATCTTTACCACTGCCACATAAGGTGAAACCACCATTATCTCTTGTCTGGATGAAGGCAAATTTTTTAACTGCTGACCTTGCTCCCACTCTTATTTATGATTCCACAGAAAAACATCTTTTAAAATTTTAAGTCAGGTTATTTTTCTGTTTAAAATCCTTCAATGATCCTTATCTCATTATGATTTGATGCCTCATTATCTCACCATATTCATCTTTGACTCTCATGCCAATTTAGCACCCTTCATCTCCATGGGCCTTCTTTCTGTGCCACAAATGTGCCAAATGCACCGTCTTTGCATTTTGTCTTTGCCCTGGATTGCTTTGACTTTAGGTCTGGACAGGATTCATTCTGTTTGCTATGTTGATATCAGCTCACCTGTTTCTGGCGAGCCTTTTCCTGAGCACTCAGTCTAAATTAACACCTCCCCCACCTTCTACAAGCACTCTACCGCTAAGCTACATCCTCAGCCCAAGAACCTTTTCTATTTTATTTGTCACTCTCTTTCCAGTACCTGTCACATAATTTTCTCAATAATAATTGTTTATCGAGCAAATGAATCATATCTCCTTCTTGATTATATTCCCAAAGTAACTCTACATCCATTAAAATTATCACTCTGAGTATTTATATATTTATTCATTTATTCAACAAATAATTGATACCCATGTACAAAGGCCTTATGCTATCCTATGAGTACATAGAGGAATAATTGTCAAGGAGCTCTCATTTCAGTGGGAGAGACAGAAAAACAAACAGATTCTATTTTTTTCTGGGATGTGCAGACTGGCTTTAAATCATCTAGGGGGAGCATCTGACATACTGGGAGGTGTTTAGACTGAATGCAAAGGGAATAATTGGGCATCCCAGGCACAGACTCATGCACAAATAGAAGAGTGTGCTTTGGAGAAGTCTCCAAGTGGTATGGAATGATTTTAGGATTGAGGGCTTGGTGGCAAATGGTAAATGTAGAACATGTCATGGATATGCCCTTGTGGCCTCTCTAAAGAGCTTGAACTTAAATCTTATAGTGATTATTGGAAACATTTAAGGATTTTAAACAGAGAAATGTCATAATTACCTTTGTACTTCTGGAAGATCACTTTAACTACAGTTTGTAGGAAGGATTTTTGAGGGGAGAGTAGAAACAGAGAAATTCATTAGGACAGTGTTGTGGTTTTTTTTTTTTTTTAATGTGCAAAGTGGCAAGGGCTTGAAAATAGGGTGGTAGCAGCAGGGATAGAGTGAAAGATATGATCCAAGAAATATTAAAGAGGCAGGAGCAATAAGACTGGAGGGATGGAGCAAATCCAGGGCAATTTGTATATTTCAGGCTTGGAAAACCGAGTATATAGAAGAATGGAGGACATTAAAGAGAAGGGGCAGGTTTTGGTAGAAGAAATGATGACTTCAGTTTTGTCAGTCCTTAATCCTTGCATGGCACCTCTATATTATTGGAAATCTGTGTAGTTATTAAAAATGAACGAGTTAACGCTTTTTGTAATGAGCTCCAAGATATATATATATATATATATATATATATATATATATATATATTTAAGTAAAAAGGTGAGTTAACCATGTGGGGCTGGTAGCTCAGTAGTAGAGTGCTTGCCCAACATGTGCAAGGCCCAGGGTTTCAAACAAAAAGCAAATTATATATATAAATGTGATCCAATATATATTTTAAAATGTATGTAGACATATATAAATGCATAGAACTAAAGAACACATTAAAACTGTTAATAGTGGATTTTCCATTATTCATTCATTGGAACAATTTTTAACTGAGTACCTACTGGCACTGTGGTAGGAGAGAATATATTGGTGAGTAACAATGTTTGTTGACTTTGCCCTAATGGGTCATGTATAGTCAAGATCAGCCTTTCTCAACTGGAATTCTAAGATAATTTTTAAAATCAACTGAATAGTCATATTAAGTATAAATGTTAAATTGTAACTGTGGTGAATACATAAGAAGAAGTACGTGGTACAATAAGAGTGTATAATCATGCCATTGGATCTAATAAGGAAGAACTGTAATAAAGGAGGGTTTCCAGAGATTTTGAAGGATAAGTAGTAGTAAAGATGGAAGAGCTGGAAAACAACACATGCGTAGATAAAGATGTAGAGGAAATAGAGGGAACCAGGGAAGGCTAGTACTGGAACAGAGAATGCAAAGGGGCTAGGATAAGATGAAGCTAAAAGCATATGTAGGGGCTGGGTCTTTTAGAATTTTATAAGGCTTCAGTACATTCTAACACCAGTGAAAAGCTATCAAGGACTTTTAACTTTTTATTTATTTTTTTGGTAATGGGGAACCCAGGGCCTTGTGCATGCTAGGCAAGAGCTTTACCACTGAGCTACATCCCTAACCCACTATCAAAAGATTTTAAAGTAGGGAGTATTTTGTTCATTTTTTGAAGTTTTTCTTCCCTCTCTCTCTTCTTTCCTTTTTTCTTTTTCTCTTTAATGCTGGGGATTGAACCCAGGACCTTGCACATGCTAGGCAAACGCTCTACACCCCAGCCCTCATTTTTACACTTTTGAAAGATCAGTCAAGCTTCTATGAAGAGAATGACTTGGTGATTAATTAATAGGTCTTAGGTCTTTTCAGTAGCCCAAATGAGAGATGATGATGGCTTGTACCAGGGCAATGGCAGAGATAAAGTGTACATATTCTAAAGATATTTTATAGATAAAATTAACAAAACTTGGTAATAAATTCGGAGAGGATTAAGGATCAGTGAGRTGTTTGGTTGAAGTCCTTGAAGGCCAGGCTAACTTTTGTATGGATTTAACAGATCTCAAATCATGGGAATTTGAAATACATACCTATGTATGGAAAGGCCATGCAAAGTTACAGTTTTACAAAGATCGTGCAATATTTGATGTTAACAAAGGTCACTTAGTCCACAGCATGGAGAATAAATTGGAGGTGAATGAGACTATAGGTTTTATAATGGTCCAGATGACATAAATAAGGCTGACATAAACCAAGGCATTACCAGTGAGAATGGAAAAAGGTTGAGAAGATAAAGCTCTCATTGGAAATGGGAGAATAGGTACTGGAGGCTGTTCAGTTTGGGGACAAGGTAGGAGAGTGAAAAGGATCAAGAGTACTCTCTTCCCTCTTTCTGCAGATTTGTCTTTTTCAACCAATAGTGTAACTCTTACCTATCTCTGGGGCAGCATCGTGTCCTGCTGTGATAAAAGAAGCCTTGAGAGTTAGTATGGTCCTGTTGCTGCCACTGACAGGTAACATTCTTCAGGTCCAAGGTAAAGCACTGCAGTCCAATTGCCGCTGAAGTCAAAGAAGTAAGTCCTATCAGGTCCATGTGCCCCTACTCTTTAGAGTATCTGGATCATTTTTATACACACAATATAGAACATTTATTCTTATTCTCTCTTCTCTCTCTGACCAGAGTTCATCCTGTGCAAAGGCTAGTTTGAGGTCATCAGGAAGGACATGATTCCTAGAGTCTCCATATCCAGCCCAATCCTCCCTAGAGATCTTTTTTACTTTTTAATCTTCTCCCCATCTACCCATTTCTTTGTTGACCCACCTGCATTCCTGGGCAAGTCCACAGTCACAGGAGAGGACCAGGAGCCCCAGGAGCCCCGGAGGGAGACCCCATCAGGTTGGCTGCGTAGCTGGATCCAGTAGGAGTTGCCAGGCCGGAGGCCAGAGATGAGGCAGCTTCTACGCCTCACTGTCAGAGATGGATCCTTGGGAGGAGAATCCAAGTGTCAGAATCTAGGCCTGCCTCTCATCCAAGACAGCCTCTGTCCCTTATACTGGAAGCCCTACAGTACCCCTGGGCAGACCTCAGCTCCTTATTGAATAGATATGCACCCAGACTGGGGGCCAGGTTGTTGGGTTTCAGGTGATGTTCAGGGATTTTTAGGGAAATTTACTTTACTTTGGAGGTCTAACAGCCCTGAATTTTGTCAGTGTGGATGACTCAAAGGGGGAAACCCCTAAATAAATCCTGAGGGCTAATAACTCCCCAAGAACCAGTCTAGTCTTGAGACCCCAAAGTATGTTTACTATGGCAAAACTGAGGATAGAGGATAGGATGTAGGAGGTGAAGCAGAAGAAGGTTAGAATACTTCTCCAGTTGGGGAGGTTTGTGTTGGTCCATCCTGTTGGGGTGCTATGGACTGAACACATGGAGGTTGGTCTAGAGAGGAGGCTGCATTCAGCCTCCACCGAGTTGGGCAGCAGGTTTCTGTGGAGAATAGCTGTATCACTGTGGGGCCGCTGGAGTTCCTGGGATCCTTGGGGCAATAACGGAGTTCATGCCTCAGGAAATCACTGATTTCAGGAGCTGGGGCCTCCCAGTGGATCTGAAGTTCTCCTGGCTGGCTCCCGCCCACAGCCTTGATGATATTAGGGGGAGATGGCAGGCCTGAGGGCAAAACAGGGTATATCAGAACTTTGAATACCATGTTCTTTGGTTCAATCCATGGACTATAGAAAGGGGTACTAAATTGAGGGTAGCCATTGGGTTAAAAAAAAAGATCACAGATTGTCACTCTTTTGGGGAGATGGCAGGGTAGGAAGGCTCTTTATCCTCTCCTGCTTTCCTCATGAGAATAGAGACATCACTGCGATGTAATAGTTTGTTAGACTGCTCCTTGAACTTCTTTTCATGTTTGTATCCTTGTCATCTAGCATAGTACTTGGCATACAGTAGGTATTCTGTAACTGTAGAATGAGTGACTCAATGAATATATTAATGATGAGGGGACTGGGATGTCCTTGGTGTGAAATGGTTTTTGAGACAAGTCTAGATTTGGATGCCAAGATTGGGAGGGATGATCACAGGATCTTGAGATGCCTCTGGGAATCTGGTAATGGGGGGCATCCACGTTGTCTCAAAAGGCTGCAGGCAAGTCTGATTCTAGGAGCTGGAATGCAGGCAACAAATGGGGGCGCCAGGGAGGTAGGGGTGCCCTTACCCACATTTTCCACAAAGAGTACCCGATGGGTCAAAGTCTGATTCAGGAACATATCCTTCACCCAGAGGTGCAGTGGAAAGAAGAGGCGTATTTCATCCTGGGCTGGAAACTGGCATATATATCGGGTTCCAAAGGGGGGTATACTCCGGGAACTCAGGGGGCAGGCACGGGGCTTCTCTCTGTTGGTATAGGAGAAGTCTCCCTACATAATTGCCTTACTCAACCCTGAGGACCCAGGCCTTGGCCCATTCCCAACATCTGTTTTCATTGCTGCTATTTTTCTTTTYACTGCTAGAGATAGTTGGGATTTGGAATTATATAGGGGCTTGAGCTGAGCTGTTCATAAGGTGACTACTTAACACGTATTCTTAGAGTAAGTCCTCCAGCAGGGCCCCAAACAGGGAAGCTCTTAGAGTGGGACTCAGCAGAGCTAACCACAGGGACAAATATATGGGGAGTGAGGTACAACCCAGCACCTACCCTGAGTAGGCATACAGCAGCTGGTATGTCCCATTGGGCGCTGCCTCTTCCTCATTCCAGAAGCAAGTGAGGTCCTCAAATGTTTGGGAGAAACACCTCAGGGGCTCTGAGTCCAAGGCCAGCAAGGAGACATCTGAGGAACAGCTGATAAGTTGGGTTCTGGGTCCTACCAGGTGTGAGTAGGGGACCAGTGGGAACCTCTTACCCTACATCCCCTCCAAGGACTCTGCATCCCCTCCCAGGGGTCCCTCTTCCTGGGCATAGGTGATCTCCACCCTCTACCCACCTCACCTTGGCTGGTGACTTGTGCCAGGTTTTGTGGGACCAGGAGGAGGCAGGAGGTGACCATGAAGAGGGCCCAAAAGGGCATCTTCTCCGGCACTGTGTGCCTGCCCTAGCCCATCCTCCCTTCAGGAAGCTGGGCCCCAATCCCCTCCCAGGCCAGCCCCTCAGGTTCCTGTCAGATACAGCCCCACGTCCTGTCCCTGTCCCTGCCCTGCTGGGGCCCATCCAGACCACACTGGGGCCAGGGGCCAGAGGAGGGGGAGTAGGCAGGAGGGTAAGAAAATTCTGAAAAAAAAGGACATAGGCCTTTTGGTGGGAGGTATATATTTATATACGAAAAATAAAATAAGCCTGAGTGTGTGTCTAAGTGTGAGTCTGTTATAGAAGGGCATACTGTCATCAAGAATGGCAACATTTACTGAGCACCTAACTAAGCGGCACCTAACTAAAATCTATTGACTCATTTCATCTTCACAATAGTCTTATTATTCCCATTATAAAGATGAGGAAATGAAGAGACAGAGACGATTTGCCTATGATCACATACTCCTCAGACAGAACTTGCATTCACCAAAATCCCCAGACGATTTGATAAAAGTTTGTGAAGAGATGATCTTCAGTATTTCCATCTGGCTTGCTCAGAATCAGGGATGTTTGGTCTCAAACCTAGCTTGTGTTGGTCTTCGTGTTAGTACCAGAGTAGTAGTTATGATCTCTTCACGGAGGCCAAGGCCTCCTGGGCACACTGGTGGTTCCTCTTCTGACTCTGGGAGTTCAGATGCTGGCTTAGGCAGGGAAGGGCAGGTTGGGAGGGAGGAGTATGCATAGCCATGTTAACTCCTACATTTAACCCCTTGACCTCAACTGGGGCTTCCATTGCTGGCTCCTGCAGACCAGGTGTCCTCACATCTTTCTATCTTCCTCCTTCTGAATTAATTTTACTAATAAGGAATTTCAATAGGGGAGGGGTGGGTAGAGGGAAGTGTTTCCACCCTCCTGTGAAGTCTTAGTTTCTCTGGCACCATTTTTTGGCAACTTGTCCCTGATCCAGGTTTGTCATAAGCCCTGTCAGCCTTCAGATTACAAAGACCAATGGTAATGACTTTGGATGCCTCCCTCTGCCCCAGTCTCCAAWCAAGGGCTACCCAACTTCTATCAGATCAAGGAAGAGAGGAAACACAACTTTAATGTTCATGCACTCCACAGCTTTGGATGCTAAGTGAATACTCCTCTGGGCCCCAGATTTAGTGGCCAACTGCTTACTTGGCTTCTCCATTTGTGTGTCTAATAAACATCTTACAATTATGATGGCCAAGCTAGGTGTGGTAGTATGTGCCTTTAGTCACAATTACTCAGGAGGCCAAGGGAGGATCCTTGAGCCCACAGGTTCAAGACCAGCTTGGGCAACAGAATAAGATCCCATCTCAAAAAAAAAAAAAAAAAAAAAAAGGCAAAAGAAAACTCTTGATTCTGGTTCTCACTTCCGAAACTTTGTTTTCCTACTTTTTTTTTTTTTTCTTTTTGTAGTGCTGGGGATCGAACCCAGGGCCTTGTGCATGCGAGGCAAGTACTCTACCAACTGAGATATATCCCCAGTCCCCCCCCCCCATTTTTTATACTGTGTTCTTAAAAATTTGTTCTAATTAGTTATACATGATAGTAGAATGCACTTTAATACATCATACATAGATGGAGTATAATTTTTCATTCTTCTGGTTGTACATGATGTGGAATGCCATCTGATGCATAGTTTATATATATACATAAGGTAATAATTTTTGATTCAATCTACTATCCTTCCTACCCCTGTTTTTCTAACTCTTGCCTATCTCTGTAAATAACAACTCCATCTACTGAGTTGATCAAACCCAAAAGCTCATTACTCCTTAATTCCTATCTTTCTCTTAACCTATATCCAATTAATTAGTAGGTCCTGCACTTCCTTCCAAGTGTGCACTGAACCTGAACATTTTTTTACCCCTTCTCCTCCCATCCTGGTCCATGTGAGTGTTACYGCAGTAGCTTTCTAACTGGTGTCCCTGCCTCCGCTCTTACTCCTTCCATCCATCTTCCATCAATAGTCTGATGTTTAAAACACACATCCAGGGCTGGGGCTGTGGCTCAGAGGCAGAGCGCTCACCTGGCATGAGTGAGGCACTGGGTTCGATCCTCAGCACCACATAAAATTAAAAAAAGTTATTGTGTCCACCTATAATTAAAAAAAAAAAAACAAACACAGGGCTGGAGATGTGGCTCAAGTGGTAGCGCGCTCGCCTGGCATCGGGTTCGATCCTCAGCACCACATACAAACGAAGATGTTGTGTCTGCCAAGAACTAAAAAATAAATATTAAAAATTCTCTCTCTCTCTCTCTCCTCTCTCACTCTCTCTTTAAAAAAAAAATCACATATCTAATATCTTCACTCCCCTCTTAAAATCCCCCAAAGACTTCCCATTGCACTTAGAATATAATTCACATGCCTGCTAATGGCACACAAGGCCCTATCTGACCTGGCCCCTGCCTGCTTGAACCTCATCTTCTATGACTTTCTTCTTCATCCTCCACCAGCCACAATAAACATTGTGTCTCTCATCTTCATCTTCATTGAACTCAAATTTTCTGCAACATTCAGTATTCTTCCCGTTAGGTTGTACAATGTCACATTCTCTTGGCTTCTTCCCACCTACTATAACATTCCCTCTCAGTTTATTTCTGTGGTTTCTCTTTCTTTTAAATAGTGCTRTTCCCCAGGTGTTCTTGCTTAGCCCTGAGTGATCGCATGACTTCAATTTGTTGTATACACCAGAAAGTCCTAATCACTCTCTTGAAATTCAGTTCTCAAATTACTTTTTGGAAATCTCTATTTGTTGTTCCATGGGCACTTCAAATCCACCAAGTGCTAAACAAAACTATTACTAATTTTCACATGCCCTTTTGGATCTTTTTTCCTATGTTCTGCATCTCATATAGGCTACCCAGCCATCTAAGTCTGAAACTAGAGAGTGACTATCAAATCTTTATTTTCCTTCTGCTCTTGCATCCAAGTCCTTTCCAAGTCCTATGACTTCTACAGGGAAACAGTATAATAGTGATTAAGGGTGCAGAGCCCATATGGGGCTTGTCTGTGACTGTCAAAAGTTGACATTAGGAATGTTCCTCCTCCATGGGATGAGGCCCAGCTACCTGTCCTTGTCATTTTCCCATTCCCTCCTACTTTCACATAGCTAGAAAAAGCTGCCTTCCCCAGTCCTTTGGTTCTTTAGAAAATCAAGCAGGAACTGGGTTAGGCCTAGGAAAAARGAGACCATGTGGATCTTCCCACTTTGGCTAAAAAGTTGAAGACTCTTTAAGGTTCAGCCCAGTTTATCAGGCCTAGCCTTTTCTTTTGGAATATAAGGCCAAAGTCCTGGTTTTTGAAAGCTGGCATTTGATCTCTGGATAGCCATTGTTCAGTAACTTTAGGGGTTGCTGGATGAGGACAGGCTCAGTAGAGTGCTGTGAAACTGGCTCTCAGAGAGGAGGGAGTCCTGTTTTGTAGGCTTTGCTGCTTTTTGTGGTGTTACATACTTCATAGGCAGTTTCAAGCTGCTAACGTGATGCCACTGGATGGTGAGTTGGGAAAAGAATTGGCTCTTGGGAGCACCTACCTGGGTCTTTGCCTTTCATCTTTGTCATTCCAGATTTCCTAACACCAGACATTTTATCCAATCAGGAAACCTGAGTTCAGGTAGCTCTAGGCACCAGGATTCTGTATCTCTTCATCTCTTTTCCAACATTGCCAAACTTCTCTCTGAGACAAGGGTCTATTTATACCCCTACAGTGTGCAGAGCACTGTACTTCCCCTTCCCTTTGTCAACATTAAGTTTGCCACTCTAGTCTACAAATGTTATCTCCTTACACAATATTTTCTGAGGCTTAAATTTGCTTTTATTTTTTCCCTACTCTRAACTCCTTTCATGGCTCCACATAATCCTCTGGATCAAGACTTCTCCCTAAATTCTGGGACATGGACTCTTCCCATCTAATTGCTCTCTTGAAATTTGAATTCTCAATTATTTGTTGGACATCTCTAGTTGTTGTTCTATAGGCACTTCAAACTCACCAAGCCCCCAACAGAACTATCACTTTTACATACCCTTTTGGAGACCAACTTTTACATACCCTTACCCTTCCCACCTTTGTGCCTTCCCATTCTTAGAATCTCTGTTTCATGATGTGCCATTCACAATCATTAAGCTCAACTCCTCCTCCTTTGCTCCACCTCCCCCAGGGTCTAACCAGGTACAGAACCTTTCCAACTTAATAGCCTGTTGGATATTTCTTTATGATTTCAGACCTATCCCCAAGTCACTAGTTCTTAGGAGTCATTTATTACTTTCCAACTATATGTAATGAGGCAAAATTCTAATTTAAAAAGAGAAATGCAATTTACACTCTTTTCAGAAGCCCATAGCTCTCTTGTGATCAGAAACAACTTGATAGACTGCCGGGGTCCTGCCCCAGCGGGGTCCAGGGAGTCCTRAAGGATGAGTGACGTCGGCGAAAAGATGAGACAGGAATCGTTCTGTTTGAGCAATCTTCGGAGAGAGAGCTAAAGCAGCTTTCTCTGGGTCCCCYTTTTATTACAATTTTTCTCATCATTATAGATTCACAATACGTCATTAATTATATAATTTAAAACTTTGCCAAGACATGACATTTCCTTAACCATGATTGAGAGCACACCAATCTACATCCTTCCAGGATATGACCCCCAGCCATACAATCATCAAAAGTACAGAATCATCAATAAA